AGATCTTGCAACAGACTCAAAATCCAATAGCTAGTTATACCTGGAAGACACTTGTGAAAATAGTAATTCCCTAAAGGTTCCATATACTAGCAATAATGCTACTCATCACAGGCAATTTTCAAGCATCAACCAGGGAATTAAACTAAGATAATATACAAAATGAGAAGACACTAAACAAGATGCAACCCCAGAGAGCCAGCTCACCAAAGGCAAACCCAGGGTGCAAGGAGGTGAAACTGTCAAAAAGCTGCTGCCTGCACTCTCTGAAGGGGTAACAATAAAGTAAATGAATAAGGCTCTAGAAAAGAAACAAATGAGAAAGAGTTTATCAGCTAACTATGGAGACAGTGACCATAATGAAAGACATGCTTAGTTTCTCTAGATCAGAGGCAGATAAAAAATAGAAAAGCTTAAAAAATAATTCAAACTATGAATGCCCAACATAGGAAAGAAATGGGATCAGAAAAACAGACTCAAACAGATACCCAAGAGATTAAAAATTCCTTTGAAAATATAGGTAGCAGGATGAGCCAATGTGAAGACAGAATCTCAGAGATAGAAGATGGGATTGTGGTTAGAGACCATGAAAAGTAAGATTTCTTAAAGACAGTAAGGGACTGCAAGACATTAATCTAGCAGCTGCTAGAGGATGCAAAGATGAATAAAATAAGATTAATTGGAATCAGTAAAAAGCATTAGATAATGAAAATGACATAAATAAACCTGTTCACATATATTATGGCCAAAACTACCCTGACAGGGAAAAGAATTTGATATGTAGATAAATCAGGCATAAATAGAACTACAATTAGCATGTTCAAAAAAATCTATAGAAAGTCACATAATAGTCAAAATTTCAGAAATTCAACATAAAAATAGAATATTGAAAGCTGTAGAGGAAAGAAACAACTCACAAAGAAAGCCCATATAAATCATAGTAGAAGTCCTCAAGTCAAGGAGAGTTTGGAGTGAAGTGTTTCAAGTTCTAAAAAAAAAAAAAACAAAAAACAAAAAACAAAAAACAAAAACAAACTCCAACTCAGATTTATATACCCTGCAAAATAGTCTTTCAAAATCAATGAACAAATGAGATACTTCCATGACAAAGAACACCTGAAGAAATTCATGAACAGCAAACCAGCACTTTGAAGTGTTTTGAAGGACATTGTAGAAAGAGATGACAAGGATTGCAACCCAATGAAGCCCAACAGAATGAATCCACCAGGCAAAGCAAACAATATAAATAACATGACAAACGTAAGTCAATACATATCAGTTACAACCATCCACTTTAATGGTGTCTATTCACCAATCAAAAGATACAGACTGGCAAAATGGACCAAGAAACAAGATCCAATGGAATGCTGCAAGCAGAAGCACATTTAATTTAAAAAGAAATTCATTCCTACAAGAGAAATTTATAATACCCATATCAGGAAAAGAGTAAGCTCAAATAAACAATATAATTTGAAACTTAATCTTCTAGAAAAAGAAAATATTAATGCAATGGAAACTAAGAAAACAATACAAAGAATCAGTGAATCGATGAGTTGATTCTTTGAAAGTTTAAATATAATTGATGAACACTTAGCCAGCCTTAAAAAAAGGAGGAAAACTCAGACCCGTGCAATTAGGAATAAAAAGGGCTAAATCACAACACATCTTGTAGAAATCCAGAACATCAGCTTTACCTACTTTGAGAATTTGTATTCTAATAGGATGGAAAATGCAAAAGACGTTGACACATTCATAGATACACATGAATTATCAAAGCTGAATCAAAAAGGTATAAAAATTCTAAATTAAGCAATGCCAGTCAATTAAATAGAAGATGTAATTAAAAGCTCACCAAAAAGAAAGCCCATACCATTATAGTTTCACTGTTGACTTATGCAGGTATTTGGAGATGACCTAATACTGCTATACTGAAAACTACAGTACTCTAAAAAAGGAGATTGAATGGAGAGATATTCCTTGCTCTTAGGTAAGAAGAGCCAATATGGTGAAAATTGCCATACATTCAAAAGTGTTACACAGCTTTAATGTAATTCAAATCAAAATTCCAACAACATATTTCACAGAATTAGAGGAAACAATCTTAAAATTAATTTGGAACCAGAAGAGACCCAGAATAGTGAAGACAATTCTGGGCAACAAAGGCAAAGTGAGAGGCATCACAATCTATGACTCCAAATTATACTGCAAAGTTACTGTGACAAAAACATTATGTTACTGGCAAAATAACAAACAAACAAACAAACAAACAAAAAACCCAAAATACTAAAAACAAACCTCAACAAAACAAAGCACCGGACCTGAGGAACAATGGAACAGATTAGAGGATGCAGAAACAACTACAGATACCTTTAGCCACCTTATCTTTGAAAAATGGGCCAAAAGGGGCTGGGGATTTAGCTCAGCGGCATAAGCGCCTGCCTTGAAAAGCAGGCAGTCGTGAGTTTGATCCCCGGTACCGATAAAAAGGAAAAAGACAAAAAACAAACAAACAAACAAAAAAAAAAAAAAGAAAAATGGGCCAAACATGTTCACTGGGAGAGAGATAGCCTCTTTTGTAAATGGTGCTGGAAAAACTGACTTTGCACATGCCAAAGATTAAAACTAGACCCATATCTTTCACTATGTACTAATAATGAATCACATGAGATTCATTATAATCAGTATGATCAAAATGGATCAAATATTAAAGCAGAAGTGTTAAATCTGCTTGAAGATAGAATAAGTAAACTGTTGAAGACATAGATGTAGGCAATGACTTTATGAACAAAACCCTGATCACATAGGAGCTATCACAAAGAATCAACAACTAGGATTTCATCTTATTAAAAAGCTTTTGCACAGAAAGAGAAACTACCATCAGAGTGAAGAGACAGACTACAGTGTGGGAAAAAATATTTTGCCAGTTGTTCCTCAGACTATCTAGGATATATAAAGAACTTAAACATGTCAGACCAACCAAATTTCAAAAAACATTCCAAAAATGGGTTTCTGAAACAAATAGACACTTCTCAGATGAAGAAGAAGAAATGGCAAATTAATGTATGAAAAATGTCTGACATCATTAGTCATTCAAGAAATGCAAATCAGCAGAATGCTAGGATTTCATCTCAACCCAGAAAGGATGGCTATCATCAAGAAATCAACCAGCAAAAAATGCTGACCAGTCTGTGGAGAAAAAGGAACCCTTCTCCATTGTTAGTGATAGTGTAAACTGGCGTAATCACTGTGAAAGTCAGTGTGGAAATTCTTCAAAAACCTAGTAGTAGAGGTTCCATTAAACCTAGTTATCTTGGCATCTTCCCCAAAGAATTAAAAGCATCATACAACAGCGACATGTGCACACCCATGTTTATAGCAGCAGAGTTTGTAATATCTAAGTCTTGGAAGCAGCCCATCACTGATGAATCGATAAAGATGTGCTTTTCTATACAATAGAGTGCTACTCTGCCATAAAGAATCATAAGCTAAGTGGATGCACCTTGAGGCCATTTTCTGAAGTGAATAAATCAGACACGTGTAAATACTGCATTGTTTCTCTCATGTGAGAAACTGAGAGTGTAAGTAATGACCAAAATGTATAATAAATGTTGTACAATAGTAAGAAAATATTCAGATGGGAAGAGGAGGTAGTGGGGGGGGGGGAGAAAAAATGATGACAAAATTAAAAAGAGAAAAGACATACGAGTATCATTATTTCAGGGGCACTCTGACCCAGAGGACAAATACTGTGCCACAGAAATATGCCTGGGATGGAGATTTCACTCGTCAGGTGAGGGAACAGTAGCCTCCAAAGGAAGGGCAGGTGCTTGGCATGGGATGGAGGTGCAGGAGATTGACGGTGCTCCGAAGGGGATGTGTAGTATTCCCTAGTGAAGATGAGCATTAGGAAAACTTCCTTGAAACCCACAGATCTTGAAGAAGTACTCACATTTCTCAGCTGCCACCTGTCCTGACTCAGAGAAACCATGAAAATGCCACCTAGCAGGCCCATGGGAACTAAAAACAGAGGTCTGAAATAATTTTAGCTTTTCACAAGAAGTGGCCTCTTCTTTTCCATTGCTGGGGCAAGGAATGAAAATAAGTATAAAGTAAGGGATGAATTAGACAAGGAGCTAGGGCACTGCCTTGTGGAGAGAGAGAAGAGAGAGAGAGAGAGAGAGAGAGAGAGAGAGAGAGAGAGAGAGAGCACACAGATGGGTATGGTGACTCTGGGATGCTAAAGCAAGAGAATCCTTGCCTAGTCAAGATATCAAGATATATTCTACCTCAAAAAAATAAGTAAAACTACAGAGTGCATCTCCTAGGTAAAAGGAATGCGTGTTTCTCAGAATGGTCAGGTTTATTCTATGGAAGTCAAGCAATATTTTGAGGCTTCTGCTGGGAGAAGGTTACAATAGTGAAACTCAGCAGATTCACAACATATGTGATGTCTGCATTAAGGAACATTTTTATGCTAAGAGATATACACTGTATATGGACAGAAACCTAGGGACTGTGGTCATGGCCTCACCTTCCTCTGGCTGAGTGAGCTGGGAAGCATGAGAATGCGGTGCACTACCCTCTGGGTATGGCCATGCTTCTGCTTAGTCAAATGATCACTATCATACCACATACCTCCAGGATATTTGCTCTCCTATGTCCTAAGCGTCACAGTCACCAGTCTCTGCTTCTGTACTGGAGATGAGCAAATTCCTGCTTTTCTGTTACCGTAGTGAAGGCCCTTGCCTTGAAACACCAGACTCTTTATCTCACCTGCTTTTCTAGAGTAGTTTTCTAGTAAGCATCTCTACTGCTAATTTTGGAAATCTTGAAAATCTAACTCATAGTTTTCTCACTCTGAGTCTTGGAATCACTGATCAGGCATGAAGTCCTTGGGTCAGGAAGACCAGGAGTCACCACGGATTTTCTGCTGTTCCTCAGGCTGTCCTACTGTGTCCATCCACAGAATTACCTTCTGCTTCCAGGTGAGGCTCTCTGCATCGTTAGCACAGGAAAATTCTGGGTATTTATTATTTATTTGTTGGTGCTCCTCAGAATGGAACCCACTGCCTTCTCATTGAGCTACATCCTCAGCCTACTTTTTAAGTTGTTTTTGCTATAAGACAGGACTTCGCTAAGTTATTAAGTTAACCAGCCCAGACATGAATTTATGGTACTCCCAACTCAGCCTCAAAGAGTATTGGGATTACAGGCATGTGCTACCAGACCTTGTTAAAATTCTGCTTTTTACTATGACAGAATTATGCTGTGTAGCCAGGCACTCCTGCAATCTAGCACTTAGGAGGCTGAGGCAGGAGAGTTGTTTGCAAATTTGAGACCAGCCTGGGCTATAAAGTAAGCCCACATCCAGCCTCAACTGCATAGTGAGACCCTGTCTCAAAGACAGAGAGAGAGTGGCGGGGGGGATTGTGTTACATTTCTCTTTTTTGTGTTTTGGGGCAGATAACTCAAATAAAATGTCCATTCCTTGACATAACAGCAACATGTTTTGCCCAGGGTATAAAAATATAGATTAAATTAGTGAACAATTCATTCCATAGATTTCTGTGCTAAACCAAAAAAACTGAGAGAGAGAATTACCCACGGAGTACAGGAAATACACCCCAAACCAAGTTAGTTTTTCTGATGGTGATTTCTAGAACACTAAGAAAATCTTTGAGACATGGTTTCCTCCTCTGTACAGTGTGGACGGCTGCTGAGAGAGCTGAGTAACAGTAGCAGGGCAGTGCTGTACTGAGTCAAATTAGAACCAGGGAAAAAAGGAAAATTCAGTAAGACTGCACTGACCAGTCTTTAAACTCCTAGTAAATTGCTCCCACAGACTTCTGGTATTGTTTTGATTTTTTAAAACTGTACAATTATTTGTCATGATTTCTTTGGCGCCTCTTTTAGATTTCAAGCTTGAAATAACTCGTTCATTCCCTTTGCTTGTCTTGGTCTTAAAACACAAGGTTTGCCATGAATCTGGAGTCAGTGAATGTTAAATACATGTATTTATGCTCATCCATGGCTCTATCATCTAAATTCATAAATAGGTCAGGCTAAATGCCTTAGAGAAATTCTAATGCAGGGATTGTTGAGCTTAACTCAAAAGAAAATTGGATTAATTTGGTTTAACTCAAAATTATCACCTGTTTCATCCCTAACATAGGAAGAAAAACTTTAGGAAGGATGAAGTAGGTTTAAAGTGTTAACTCTGTTTTTTTTTTCTTTTTGTGAATGAAGGTTAAGAAGCTCATAGTTTTCTTAACACTAGAATACCGAGTACAGATTAGACCTATTTATTAAGTTTCTAAGTCCCTATAAACTGCTTATTTGAACAAAGTTATTAGAAGGTGAGGGGAAACAACATTGGTAGGAGTTTCACCATACCCTATGCATTCCAAACCATTTATTTTTATTTAACCTCATTTTATCAGGGTATTTGAAACTAGAGAGATTCATTGATGAAATCACAAGTGTTTGAAAATTCACCTTTGATGTTATCTATAATTTTTTAATGCCTAAATACTACACTCAGAAAAATATAGTAGTCATGAAATATTGGAGCTAAAAGGTCTTTTTTTCTGGTCCCAGGACTTGAACTCATGACCTCATGCTTGCCAGGCTGAAGCTAAAATGTCTTAAATAAATTCCAACCCAAGAGTTGTGGAGGTATAAGCGTCTCAGAGAAACATAACAAAACACATGTGTCGTAAGTGTGGTGGCCTCACCTGTCATTCTAGCTCTGGGAGGCTGAAAAAGGAGGATTTCAAGTACAAACCAGCTTAGGCAACTTAAAGAAAGAAAAAAATTAAAGGTCTGGGACTATAGCTTACTCTCAAGACCTTGAGTTCAATAAGTAAATAAAAATAGGTGGTTAACAAAATAAAAACTAGCTGGTGATTTAGCTCAGTGGCATAAGCTCCTGTCTTGCAAGTGCGTGGTCAGTTCATCCTCCATACCGATTTAAAAAAAAAAACCTAAAAAATTTCAAAACCTGACACATGTGGCTTTTCCAGATGTCTCAGCGAGTGCAATGGCTGCAGCTTCATGTCCCTGCCCGTGGACAACCTGCTGCCAGCCTGATACATGACTTGGGTGGGCGTGCCCCCTCATCAGCTGCAGGAAGTGGGAAAAGCTGAAAGCCCTAAGCTTGCTCTAACCTCATTGGATGGAGTGGAGAGCCCAGGGGGTGGGTCCACATCTGAATCACGCAGGTGTCAGAGCTGGCAGCAGGGCCGATGGAGTCTTGGGGCCTCAGCCAGCTCCTGTGGGTTTCCTTATCAAGTAGTGTTGAAAGGCTGTGCACCTGGGAGACACAGTGGCTAAAGGCACATGCTGAAAAATCCCACTGCCAGTCTGCCAAATTAGCTACCACCACTTGTTAGCTATTTGATCTTAGCTACTTGACATTTTAAAAACCTTAGTCTCCTCATTAGTAACAGGGAAATATCTACTGAGTTAACCCCTGGTTTGCAGTGGTGATTAAGTGAAGGCAATGTACCATCATTAGGTGCCCAGCAGGATGGTGGTCTTTTTTATCAACTGTCACCTAGACTGATAGCTGGAATTAGTGATTTGGTCTCCAGGGTCTTCACTGCTGTCTCAACAACACCAGAAACATCTTCTGCTTAGTATACTTGATTTATGGACTAATTTACTTATCAGAGTTATCTATTCATTAAAAAAGACTTGTTGAGGAAAGTACTTAGTAGTCACTGCTGTATCTTGCGTTAGTGTAGCATCCCTGGCGTCTTTGTGAGAGGAAAGGCCGCACATGCTCTGGTCTTGTGCTTTGTTTTCTGCTAGGACTTTCTTGAAATGGGTCATCCGTTCCCCTAGCACGTGTACCCACAGCTTCACCAAGATCACCACGTCTTCTGAAGTCAACTCTCACATTTTTATACAGCTTGCTGCATACATTTCCATTTCCTGCTTTTGACGCTTAAGTCTTGAGAGACTGCTGCACTGCTTGTCGTTTAAAAAGTACTCAGGAGCTGTCTTTTGGTACCAAGAATGAGACAAAGTGTAAACAATCACAGCGTTAAGTGAAATAAATTAGACACACAGGCATACATGTGGGATGGTTTTTCTTATGTGATAAGCCCAAAGTATAAATCAAGGAGCAAAATAAAGGCTAGATAATAAGAATCAGAGCGATAGAGCTTTATCAAGTAGGGAAGAGATCTAGAGATGGAGAGAGGGGGTTGGGGAAAGAGGGGAAGTGAATTAAGTTGTGCAAGTACCAACTCCCCATGATGAATATAGTCACTATGCATGCAAGCATGTCCTAATAAAAGCATTTGGTAAGTTATAAGGACTCTTAAAAAGGACCTCTCCATCCTAAAAGGTAAAGTTGAATCAGCTAACATAGAGTCAATACAATTAATGGATCATTACCTACTGATTTGTACAAACTCCACAGTTACACTCACAGTATTGTAATTGGAACATGCATGTGCTTGCTTGAGGGTCCCTGTGTCAGTCAGCTTTTCTGTTACTAGGACACAATACCTGACACCCACAAATTAGAAGAGGAGAAGTTTAATCTGTTTGACAGTGTAGGGAGTTTCAGTACATAGTTAGCTCGGTCCAAGGCAGAAATATCATGGCATAAGGGAGTGTTAGAGCAATGGTGCTTAGTTCATGGTGACCAGGGAGCCGAGCAAGGGAACTGTACAAGAGAACATGAGATAAAGGACTAAGTGTAGTACCCAATACCGCCCCTCCATGACACACCCAGACACTCAAGAAATGTGTGAGTCCCAAAACAACCAAACAAACAATGAAAACCAACAATCACAGTCTCGTGAAGATCCTGTCTCTTCCTTCTCCTTTCCCCCCACTTAGGGAACACTTAACTGTGGATTGACTTGGTGAATAACAGGAGTCTGTCCCTAAGGAGAAAGAAGTGAAACATGGATAGAAGGTAACTGCAAAGCAATATGCTTTACTTTGGTATAGGGAGGAGGATGGATTATTTTAGGGACTGTGGGTAGGTGAAGAGGTGTCAAAAAGGACTTCTAGCAAGGGATAACATCTGATGTGATGTTTAACTAAAATCGTTTCACACCATAAATGCTAAAGATGGCAATCCTTGTAAGAGTCCCACAAAATAGTATAGTTATTCTCTCCACCTTCTCAGTGCCCTGTACATTCCAACCCTCTGCTCTGCATCTTGTCCTGCTTTTTTGGACATTCACCTTACCTGTCCACACTTCAACACTGAGTTTAGATGTGGGACTTGTATTGGACAATGGAATGTGTACAGACTGACTAAAACATTCCAAGCAAGAGCACTACTATGCTTTAGTTGGTTTGATGGTCCTCCTTTTGGCAAGGAGAATAGATGTGTTCAGTATTGCCCCTGCTCATTCAGTGCAGGCACTAGTATAAGACTTAAGAAACAGCCACACAGAACCTCATCTGACCCACAGATAAAAGTACATGATGTGTGTAAGTAATAAACTTTTATCATCACAAGGTACAAAAGCATTACAGTTTATGTGGTAGCAAGATTGGCTAGAAAAACTCTGCAAAATATTGTTATCTCTACTTCTGATGACAGAACTAGATATGGAAAGGATTTGGGTAACAGGCTCCATCATGAATTTAATAAGAAAATAGGTCCATGACTTACAGGAAAGTATACCGTGCTCCATATTTTTCAAAGCATCCAGTCCATAAGCAACAGCTTATGTAAGGGAACAGACATGGACAATTTAGTATGTAAACAACTTGGTATTTCTGAGTTAAGCATTGTAAAGAGTATCAGGGATAGTTACAGATGAGGATAGGATAGCAGATAAGTAGGTTTGATCATGGATGACCTTTAAATGTGTTAACATGTTGACTTGTAGCTAAAGAACTAATGCCTGAGTTGATGTGTCAGGCAGTAGAGATAAAATACTGTAGGTTGGGGGCTTATGCAAGACAAATTTGTTTTCTGATTCTGCTGGGGGTAGTCTAAGGACAAGATGCCAGGAAATTGGTGTCTGGTTAGGCCTTTATTCCTAACTTGTAAGAGGTCACCTTTTTCCGGTGTTCTCTTTGCAGGGAGAGAGGGAAACAAGAAGAGGAGAGAGGAAGAGAGGGAGAGAGAGAGAAGAGAGAGAGAAGGAGGAGGAGAATGGGAAAAGAAAGAGACAGGAAGGAGGAGGAAGGAAAGAGGAGGAGGAGGAGAAGGGAGAGAGTGAGTTGAACAGGTGCCCTGTTATCTCATGCTTTTCTTATTTACTTTTGACACCACCCTGTAAGACCTGGTCCTACTCCTATAACTTCATTTAACTTGAATCACCTTGTGTCTATATACAGCTGTACTAGGAGTTAAGACTGTTGAGGAATGAATAGTTCAATCTGAAATAAGTACTTTGGAGGAAATATATTGAATATTTTAGAATTTTCAGCGCTCTGTATTGATCTGCATTAAATAAAATGCTATAAATTTAAGCTTACAGCAACCACAGATATATTATGCTTTTATTCTAGATCAGTTAACCATTTTACTATATAAATCTGCAAAGGAGGAGAGATTTTGGCCAAGGTCACATGAGTAATTAATCCCAGCCAAAGGAGAAGTCACAGTCTTCTAACTCTCCCCGGGTTTCTAAGAATCCAAACCAATCATCTGGTTAAACAAACTTCTTCAGCAAAGTGCTGATTTCTGTCCAAGTCTAGATGCTTTCCTTGAACTTCTGAAGTATCCGTTTTTTCGCCTCAGGTAACGTTCTTCCAGGAACCCTGAATCTGCACAATGCCCCTCTCATTCCATCAGTCTCTGTTGTCACATTTCCATCTCAATTCCTGCCCCAGGTGATACTGCTCCCTGGGAGAGGAAACCAGCCATCACTGCACCCCTGTGCTAACCCACTAGCTTGCTGAAGTGTGCAGATAAAGAAGCCTGGAAAAAAACTAATAAAAGTTTTCCTAATGATATGTCAGTTTTTCAAATTGCTTCTTTCATTCACACATCACTTTCAGGCCATGATAACATGGGAACAAACAATATTTTATGCAAATTTTCAAGTTAAATAAAAGCATTGCTAGTCAGTCAGTTAGGTTCCTATGCTCAGTGCTGTGTTCCTCAAAGGAGAGCACTGGTTCTGATAAAGACCAAAGATGGAATTTATCTGAATCTAGCTCCAAGGAGGTGGAGAGGCCTGTTTGCCTCAAACTCCCATCTCCCCATATTCAGGTGGGCATGGGTGCTTACTTTAAGGAACAAAGGGAAGAAGGAGAACAGAGGGAGGATATTTTATCCCCTCTGCCACCTTCAGCTCATCTGCTTTTTCTTGTGGAAAGGAAAGCTACTCCAGCCTCCTGGGTCTGCATGTTCTATCACTTCATCTGGGCCGGGGAGGAGGAGGTGTCGGACATGTGCTCAGAGGAGGAAGCTTACAGAAGCTGCTTTTCTCTAAAAGAAAAAAAAAACAAAACTCCAACTTCTAAAATTCCATGTTGCACTGCTGGTTACAAAAGAACAGAGATGGGACTCTACCAGTTAGATGCCTTCTTCCATGTGGGAGTTCTCTGCAAGAAGTTCTATGTATTCGGTCAATGATAATAATTTCATTGTAGATAAATCTTATAATTATAGAGTTGTAGCAGCTACTGTAATCACAATATAGATGCCATTAAAGAAGCTGATGTAAGAATGACTTTCTAAAAACTGTAGGTTATTCTCCTACCTCATTCAATAAAGTAATAAGTATTGATTTAAATATCTCGGGACATCATTTATACTCATTTTAAAGTGTAAAACTCATTAAAAGCAACAAATATTTTCTAATTTATAATATAGGCTAAGAAATAGTCCTGGTATTCAAAGTAAAAATAACACAGTAAAATAGTGGTTCCAGGATCGCTCCCCTCCACTCACAGGAACCTGACCAGTGCCCCAGGTCTAAGCTCCCTGACCTCTGTCCTGATACCCACTACATAGCCTGGCCTATAACGAGCTTTTCTCACCATCTGCTCCTTAAAGGTTCATGCACATGGACCACATCTCATAAAACCAATTATAACAGACGGAATTGTGGGTAAGGTCATGCGCAGTAGACACGGCTGCCAGCCCCAGGCCATGTCAATCACGCTGCCAATATGCTCTGAAAGAACCGATAGAGGCGCGCTAGGCTCAGCACAACTTTTGAGTTCCTTGAACCCAACACATTTAGCTTTTGTGCCATCTGCGTTTCTGTAGTGGAAGCCCATCACTGTGAGCAAACCTCATTCTTTAAACATCGCTGAACACAGATGCTTTTTCTTTATTGTCCTGTGCTAGATCCAATTCTTTTTTGTGCACTGGAACTTGAAAACGTGTTCCAGAGTCCCATCACCCATGGCAACAAAAAGAGGTGAAGTATTGTTTCCAAACGTCTTGAGACAAAACGTCAGAGTAAAGCAGTGACACTATTCAAAGTTATTTCCAAGTAATTAATTAATTTTTCATCGCACTGGAAATTAAACTTCGGGCCTTTGCACTAAACTATTTCTCCACCTCTGCAACTTTAAATTTTCTAAAAAATTCAAACAGGATCTCTCAAAGTCAGGTAAGCTAAAGGCTGGGCTTGGTCTGGTCCCTTCCACACAGATTTCTGGGATTATGATTGTTTCCACTTGCGAAATGCTATTCAGTATTCATTAGTCTGCAGTTTGACCTCGCCAGCACGAGAATGCCCGTGTAAAACTGGGCTTGCTGACCTGTGTTTGCCAGTCACTGGGTCCTGCACAGCTCCTTACACCCTTCTTTCCTCTTCGGCTTCTTTCACTGGCTGCTCTTCTTGATTGGTCATTCCTTCAATATCTTCTTGAATCATTCTGTCATATTTCTTCTGATTATTTGGTCTTGAACTTGAAGCCTTTGTTTCCTCTTCTTTATTTTAATTTTAGCACTTTATACTCCAGAACCCTGTCTTGGCACTTATTGTTTATTTTAGCTCACAGTTTGCAGAGTTTTGAGCACATGGTCAGCTAGTTCTAAGGGAAGGGAGGAATAGCAAACAGTCCATGGCAGGACAGTCAGGAAGCAGAGGGGCATCAAAGAACAACACATATATTTGCCTACCGTGACCTACCTTTTCCCACTAGGCTTCACCTCCCAACATCATACTCAGCATAAGTCCGTCAGTCGATGGATCTGGCGCCCATGATCCAGTCATCTCATAAAAGGCCCACCTATGAGCCAAGAGGCTTTGGGACTCATCTAGATATAAACCATAACATTCAGCCAAATGCTGGTTCTCAAGTCTCTTTTCTCAGCTCAACACCTTGAACCCTGGGCCTAAGGTGCTTAGCAGACAGCAGCACTTGAGTGCTTCCTAGAACTTCAGATCTGCTTCTCCATGTGGAAGGTCTGCTCTTTCTCCGCTCTGCATGCCCTGTGGTACCTTCTGTCTCTGTGACTGACATCAAGAATAAATCCAGCTCCTGTGCAGAGGTTTAGTTGTCCATGCACGTTTTCTATTTCATACAGGCCTCTAGAATCAATCTAGTTTGTTACCTGCCATAGAGATTCTATGTAACAACTATTATATGTAGACACGGCCATCTCCAATCTCATATCTCTGTATTGTAATAGCCTTATAATTGGTCTATTGTCTCCCCCACACCCCATTTGTAATCTTCTGGCACATTTTCAATGGTTCATAAGGTGAATCAGTTTTCTTTCAATTCATCACATTCTTTTGCATCATAGAGTAATGATAAAATCTAAATTTTTGAGCGCAACATTCAAAGCCTCTATTACGTGCCCCGATCTTGATTTCTCATCCTTTTTTTCAGTAGTTTTCATCCAATTTTCTTGTAATTTTAAATTACTCATAGGTATTTTTCATTGCTCACCTGTCCTAAGGCTGATCATTTTCTCCCTGAAATTTTCTACTCCTGCACTAACTTCTTGGAATACCACTTTGTTTTGTGCATTTTGTATACTGTGATACTTCTTTGGGATAACATATCAAGATCTCTCACTACCACAGTGAGAAGTGACCTTTACAATAACCTGTTGTGCACCTTACATAGTGATTATGCAAATGGGTCGATACCTCTATGTCCTCCTGGACCATGTGTCCCTTCTCTTCCTAGGTGTGATGCCTAGAATGCAATAGGAACGTTGCTATAAAAGTGGCTTTTTAATGCAAATGAACAAGAGAAAATAACTTACCAATATCTAAAGAAATGACAATATTTAGCAGAAGTTTTTGGATAGGGATTAAAAAAATTTCTGTGTTTCAAAAGCAAGATAGGAAACACAATCTCTGGCTTCGAGAAAGATTTCCTAAGGGATATGTCATTGTTTCTGGTCTATGGGAGATTTAAAAACTTACAAAACCAGGCTGGAAACTTATCTTTTATTCCTAATATCCTTGATTAAATATATTTGTTTTGCAGAAAAGATTCCTGGCAAATTGCAAGTTCTCTCTATTTGTGCAACTGCAGTTTCCAGGACAGTTAGCAGTAAAACCTCCACATCCTATTGCCCTAATTTATTTTTTTCTCTTAGACATTTCTTCTCCCTCTAGCCTTTGCTACTCAATACTTTAGTAATGTCTAAAACCAGAATCCTAGGTGTTTTTGTTTCAGGACCTATCTATCCCTAGAAAATACTATTTTTTCCTCAGAAATCCTCATAAAGATAGAGAACATTAGCAGCACCTCTGTTCTTATTTTACCTTTCTATTGGACCTCTGAGATTACTAAGGAGATGTCTGTAGACAAGTAAAAAAATACTATATATGTATTTCCAAGGCATTGTGTCTAATGATTTGTAATGAATTTTAAAGTTGTTTTTGTTTCTTATAGAAACCACAGAAAAAAATAACTCTTTACCTGTCGTATGGATTCAAAAAATATTTTGGTTTGCACTATTTTAGTCTTACAACCAAGTGGAGAGCAGTGTTGAACTGACTTTGCAGAGGTGAGAAAGCAAACTCAGATGAATATTTTCATCCAAAGATACAGTGGTGGTAAATGCTAACATTGAAGCATTGAGACTGTTTTCATTTAGAATTTTCTTCAGGATGGTATTTTCTTCGGGCTTTTGCTATTGTCCTTTTAAATACTTTATAAGAAGGCTGTGAAATCTTAGCTGTTTTTGGACCAGTTCTATACAAAACAGAAAATCAACTCTATTTGTAAGAGGTAGGAGACTATTAGACTGCAAAGTGGTGCACTTATAAGGCCAAGTACTTCAAATTTGTAATAATTCAGATTATTGCTCTAGTAGTATAGGATAAACATACATAATAAAAAGCAATGAAAATTGCATTAGTCAGCATTCTGTCAGTGACAACAACCTGAAGGATTACCTGAGGAAAGCTTTGTTTTGGTTCACGGCTTTGGGGGGATTCAGCCCATGGCGGTTTTATCCATTGCTTTTTGGACCTGGGGTGAGGAGAAGCAACATGGTTGGACAGAGGACACTTTTAATGTCATGGTAGCCAAAAAGCAGAGCAAAAGGAAAGGCACCATCGGAAAAGGGCCAGGGCCAGATCTAGTCCTCAAAGTCCCCCCTCCATGATCTTCTCCTTTTAACTGAACCCTATCTCCTGTTACCTTCACTCCCTTTTGGATCCATCAAATTATTCATTCATTAGTGGATTATTTTACTGCTTCACTTAGAGCTTTTATGGTCAATCTACTTCCAGGAGCCCAGTAACCAAACCTCAAGCATAATAAGTCTTTTATGGGATGTATTTTATCACAACAGTAAGAAGGACTTGCAATCACTCACCACCAAAACAAAACTTAGTGGCAAGAAAACTGGAATCACCAAGAATATTTATTCATGCATTCGTTCATGTCTCTGTTTATTTACTTAAAGAATAACTTGCATAGAAAAATATTATAAACCTGCTATGTGCTGGTTCTTTTTATGCTAGAAAGATAACTCAGTGATAAGTTACTTTTAGGATAGATCACATCATGACAAGAATGTTTTCATTTGAAATCTTATTCATATGAAAATTATTATGCATAAATAGATGTCAGAATATTTTGAACATATGATCTGCCAAATCACAAAATCTACTGTTGATAAATACTCCTGAAATTAATTTCAGAGGTTCAAACCAAAAAATATGTTGCTTTTTCTAAGGAACTAGCTTATTCTTTGCACAGTAAGACTGAATTGTGACACTCTGTTCATACTTGTCTCTTTAATTTGGTGACTAAAATATTTAAATTTTTTTATTTTAACAGTACAAAACAGAATAAAGCCAATCAAAACAAAGCATTGAAAGTGATACATAACTTTAGAACAGGACAATGGATCATCAATAATGCCACCATAGTATATCCTCACAATAGCTGTTCATTTTCTCAGACACACTAAAATCAAATAAAACAAAACAATAAAACCAACAAAAACAGAACATTGAATTAAGTAAAACAATAAATCAGAATGAAACAAAACAGTGAGAATAATATTGGATTTCCAAAACACGACAGAAGGAAATCCCCCATATTGCTATATTGCATACTGTTATCCTCCAAATATATTCTTAAACTGCTGGCTTTAGTCCTGCAAAGTCAATCAAACAATACAAGCATTTAGTTGTTTTTGTACTTCAGTTTCTATCAACTCAGCCTGTTCTATGAACCAGCTGGTTGCTAATGGGGGGTGGGTGGGTGGCTGGAGGGTCTTGATTCTCAGCCCATGTGCCTGCCGGCTCATAGGAAAGGTGACCTGGCTTCTCTTTTTCCTCCCTGCTTGATTTATGTG